GGTAGCAGCAACGATGTCAATACCGTAACCAGACGCAGATGTAAGAAGTAAATGTTAAAATCAATCAAAATTTTGTGCACATTTTATAACAATTTAACTTAATATTAAAATTTTTCAGTTTATTTATGATACTAATAATTTATGATGAAAAATAAAGGGTAAATATGGAAAATTCAAAAATTTTAATTTTTTGTTTATACTTATAAGGAAATCAAAATTTTCGATGTTCACGATTATTATCTGATATTTCATACATTTTCAAACAATTCTGGAGGTGTAAAAATAGTTAATTACATTAATAAATCTACAAATTATTATCTATTTTGGAGACAAATCAAACTGAAATTGAAACGTTATCACCTGCTTACCTACTTATTTTGTGTTACTATCATCGTTTAACCGCCGACCCAAATTTGAGTATATGGCTACCAATGATCAACTCCGTAACTATATAAATTTGAACCCAATCCAGAAGACAATTTAACTCCTGGATCAGTACCCCCAGAGGTATTAACTTGTTATGGGAACTTGGACTACTTTGTGACTCCAACTGACTAAACGTGCACCAGTCACCATTTAATACACTCGGATTCTTCGGCCGGCTGAATTCGAATTCCCATTCTCACAAACAAATAATTCTCATATTTGATTTAGTGTGACATCTAGTTTTCCCAAAATAAAATAAATCAAAATAACACTATACTATAGGATTGACTTCTAACTTTATAGTTGAAAGAATTTGAATAACTTCATTATACCTATCTAAATTTTCAAATATCGAAGCGGCAGAATTAAATGTAATAATCTTTGAATTAAAAAGTTTTGTAATTTGCGCGAACGCTTATTCGCGTTTATTATATCTCGCAACTAGAGTCTGTGAAGCATGCTTATAACTTTCATGTGTTGACTTTCATGCTTATAACTTTCATGTTGTTTGTGTGCAGTACCCTGTAGTCAAATGAACTTAGCACGGATATGGATATTGAGATCACAAATTTAACCAGAGACATTCAAGACACCTATAATGGTGCGTCCTGCTAAATGGAAATAAGTAATGATTATTATAAGCTCCCATATCAGATTAAATGTCTCATGAAAATTAAATACAAACTGAGAAAGGGTTTTCAAAGTACTAGAGACTCTATTATCAAAACCCAAGTTAATAGTTATAGCAAGCTTATCAAAAAAGAAATCACTGATTTTAAAAAAGAGACTTTGGACGAAGAGGTCGAGAATCTTACTACACAAGACAAAACTGCCTGGAATATGGTTCGGGCTCTTAAAAGTTCCGAAACTACTAATGTGCCACTCGTAGGCCCTAGGGGTAAAATATACTCAGACATCGATAAGAGCGAAATTTTCGCAGTTACCACGGAAACCCAATTTTCCATTAATAGCGAACCCAGCAATATCACTACTGAGTTGCATATTCTTAGAACCTATAATGAGTATGTCAGTTCGCATACACCAATTAATGATTATGAACCTATTACTGCTGATGAGCTTTATAGGATCATCGATAAATTCCATAATAATAAAGCACCAGGGACGGACAGAATCAATAATGATTAAATACCTTTCCCCAAATTTTATTGAGCAAACTTGAAAATATCCTTAATTCATACCTGAATAAATGCTACTTCTCTCATCAATGGAAATATGCCCAGATTGTGCTGTTCCCTAAACAAGGGAAAAATCTTTTAAAACCCGATAGCTATAGGCCCATCAGCCTGTTAAAGGTCTTCTCGAAAATTTACGAAAGAACTATCCTTGATAGACTTACTACTTTACTTTCCTGCCAAATGAACAGCTTGGTTTTCGTGATAGTCTTTCGGCCACGAAGCGACTGGTTCGTATAGTTGAGGAAGTATCTAAGAGCTTCTATAAAAATGAGACTATTGCTCTCCTGATGTTAGACGTGGCCTAAGCTTTCGACCGCGTCTGGCATCAGGGCCTCATTTGCAAATTAATCAACTATAAAATTCCAAATCATCTGATACTATTACTAATTAATAGTTACTTAAGTAACATAATCTTTCATATGAAAGTTAATGACTCTATCTCCTCAGTCAAATCCATACATGATGTAGTCCCTAAGGACTCAATACTGGGCCCAACCCTCTATCTCATTTACTCAGCTGACTTCCCGAATCTTAATGATTAGGATAATATTATTACAGCGTATTATGCAGATGATACGGCGATACTCAGTAAATCAATTAATCCCAATAACGCTATTAATAATTTAAGGAAAATCATCCCAAATATCGAGGAATGGTGTGCAAATTGGAAAATCTCCATTAATACCAGCAAATCCTCCTTACTTATTATGAGAGAGTCTAGAAAGAAGAAAATTAAAAATAGTGACCTCCTGCTATTCAATGAAGAGATTCCAGTGGCTAACAAAACCACCTACTTAGGCGTAACCTTCACTCATAATATGAATTGGAATTCCCATATCTCGAGAGAATCTGCAAAGGCAGAAGGTGCATTTTACTCCCTCAAACCAATTCTTAGCCATAACTCAAAATTAGCCCTAAAAACAAAAACGACCTTATGCCTGCATGGTATAAGACCAATAATAAGTTATGCTGCTCCTGCTTGGAGCGCCTTAAAGACCACTCGAAAACGAAAACTCGAGACCATCCAAAATAAAATGATCAGAAGACTAACGGGCGCTCCCCTTAGACTTAGGATGAGTGATATCAGAAAAGACATTACTTCTATGGAAGAACAAATAGTCCTATTATGTGCTTCCTTTTTCAAAGACGCAATAAGCTACACAACTTGCAATTACAATCAAATTTTTGACTTTGAGCTACTCAGCGATAACATAAACTACAGTTCGGCAACGGTGTTTTATCTCTCAGACGGCGTTCTATCCAAACGTTTCACCACCTAAATTGTAAATATTTCCCCACTTTTAAATCACCACCACAGAAGAAAAGGTAGCACAGGAGTGCTACCGATACAATCAGCAGATTACTGCAGATCTTCCGAGAGATGCAGGAGCTACTTCAAAACGAGGAGCTGGTTAAGCTTTTCCGATCTCTACTTCCTGAAAACAAGCCATAGTGATCTTCACTTCACCACATTACACAAGGCCCCACGTGCACCATCTCAGATGAAGGAATGGAGTGTCAGCTTCTCGGACAGGTACTCCGTAATCACACTCAGTATAAGTCAGCTATGCGAAGATAGCCCCCGAAAATGAGGCAATTCAAAAATTCAAACTGCATTCGTTTGACCATTTTTTGACCACAAATGACCACCTTTTAAATTTTTTTGACCACCCTTTTTTTGGACATAATCCTGAAAATTAAATTCGGGGGGCTAACTTCGCATTTTCACGCCAAATGAATAAAAATAAAATTTTTGTACTGTATTTGTTTGACCACTTTTTGACCACAAATGACCACCCTTTAATTTTTTTTGACCACCCTTATTTTGGACATAATCCCAAAAATTAAATTCGGGGGCTAACTTCGCATTTTTACAAAAATAATTAAAAATCTAATTTTTATACTGTATTTGTTTCCCCACAAATGACCACCTTTTAGTTTTGGTTGACCACCCTTATTTATGCCGTAATCCTAAAAATAAGACTTGGGAGAAGCATGAAATTAGCTCCCGAAAATAAGAAAAATTACTTTCTAAAAAACATTCGTTTGGCCACAAATGAACTTCATTAGGTCATCAACGTTAAAGAATTATTGGAAGTCAAAAACTCTTACGTGAAAAAAACCTGATTCGAGAAAAACAGATTTAAAGCCAAATCTTTAAATAAATTACTTTAAACAAAATACTACATAATGAAATAGATTTGTTGAATCCTGTTTTCAGTAACAATGTTTCAGTATACTTAATGTCCAGTTGTTCGGAAAAAACAAAATCATACTGCATATTTTTTCAAAAAAATAAAATAAAATCAAAATTTTCTTTTAGATCCTTTTAAACAAATTGCCATTATTCCACACTATGTTTGTAAAATATCGTAAACATTAAAAATGGGAAAAACGTGATTTTTCAGAAAAAAAAAATATTTCGAGTTTCGTAACTCAATTAAAGTTTTGCTCAGTAAGATTTAAACTCAAGAATGAGGCTATTTGATGTTTGTCATTGCTTTACATTATTACTTTTTTTTGGTTTTTTTAATTTTATTTATTTATTTTTATGTTGTTGCTTAAATTCTGAAAAATCCTTTTTTCCCATAAAGGAAGTTTGACCAACAATAAAGGTTTAAGCAACAGAAGTCGAAAGATTTATTGAAACCATTACAGCAATTTTTAGTCAAACTAAAGAAATGTTACAGGCAGTAATTGTGTCCAAAGAAATATCAAATAATTTGTTAATGAAAAGTAACAAATTAGAATTGAAATCGCTAAACGAATTCAGTTCGAACAAGTAAACTAAAGTATCTGTAGAAAATTCCATTATTCACTTTATTTTTCATTTATTGGTCTTTTTTTTTATGTATATATATAAAATTTTGAGATATGTTCTTACGTTTTTGTAAGGTAGGGAAGTTTTTTTAAAGCACTTCTCAAAAATATGTTAAACATTACAAGGTTCATTTCTAAAATTAAGAAAAATTTTAAAAAACAAGCGTGAAAGAAGCAGTTTTTAGAATACTATAAATGTTTGTCGTAATTCCATATTTGTTTAAAAAATATATAAATAAAATACCCGTTTGGTGCATTTTTGACAGAAAATTCCAACTGTTAATTTGCCCTATATGATTAAACTTCCCATGCTTCCCCAAGAGTAATAAACAGTAATAAAATATGATTCACAATTGAAAATGTCTGAGAATGCTGGAACTAGATTTAATTTTATTTTATCTTAAAGCGATGCATGCGAATACGAATCACGATGGATGATTCATAGTCATTTCGCAATTATTCAAAACAAATTATCTTTATATATATATATTAAAAAAAAGTGTTAATTTTAGTGCTACAATCAAATACACTTTTAGTAATCAATTTGTTTTAATGCAGTACCCTCATCTTCTGCAAGCAGAAAACTGAAAATTTCTGAATTAGATTACTATGTTAACACTGATGAAGGAAGAGCTATATTGGAAGAAGATTTTAACGTAAGTTTATGTTTATTTGAAATCTCATAATGATTAAGAATCAGATCTAGTTTATTAAAATTTACTGCAATTGGTTTAGTTTTCTAACTTTTGGAATTTTAAAAGTATATTTACAGTATCCGCTTTATTCCCCGACGGTGGTTCTCTATATTATTAGCAAAATTAAAAATGGTTCTAGGATATTTATTTTGTCTTTTTCTGATTTTGTAAATTAGTTTAATTCTTTAACTCTTATTTTCATATCTGGATTTGCTACAATTGCGCAATCTCGTTTTGAAATTATTGTATAATTTTATTTAATATTTTACTTGATTCATGATATGGATATTTTATGAAGTTTCCGGTCCTGTTCCCGTAATGGTTAGTTTTTATGCTTCCTAATATTTTATTATGTACTCATTAATTTTTTCTTCTCAGGTTTAATTTATATTAATATGAATAGTAAAATTACGGATTTCTTTATACCACATGACCCGTCACGTGGTTTTACGAGGGGTCCTGTGCTTGTGTGGGCAGATAAACTTATCAAGGGTCTACTGTGATTAGTAAGCCACCTGATCAATTGTTTTGTTATTATAAACACATTAAAAATGTTAAAAAAAAATTATAAAATGTCACAATAAAAATTGTTATTATAAATACCGCTATTATTTCTTTGGGCACTTTGATTAATTGACAGCAATGGGACAACCACGTGCGTGTGGTGTGATTCTGGCTGGCCAATGTTCACCGGTGAATGTTGACAATCAAATTAGTCGCTTTGGTGAATGTCCGATATATTTATTACATCCAATTTGATACTAATTTATTCGTGGATATAATTACATTTATTCGATATTTTAATACTTACTAACGATTGATTAGAACAAACATCGGTGTTTGGAGTATCGGGCAAATATATACCGGGAAATGGCACTTGACTTAAAAAAAATATCAGTGTAGGGTATACCGGGCAAATGTATACCGGGCAGTGGCACTTGACCTTAAAAAACATCAGCGTAGGATATACCGGGCAAATGTATACCGGGCAATGGCACTTAACCAGACCTAGTATGACTAGACCTTTGGTAAATGTCCGAAATATATACTAGGTCTAGTGCCACTTTTGCTATAGCTTAAATATTTAAAAAAAATTAAACAAAGCGTTTGAATCAATTTTAAAAAGATACCAAAATTATTGCTTCAAAATTAAAAAAAATAATAAAAACTGCCCCAGATAAGAGTAATTGAAGTAGTTGCTTTATACAGCACATGTGCGGGAAAAAATTTAAAAAAAAATTATCGAGGTGCATCTAAAAGTGGATGAATATCCCAAGACACACTGTGGCTGTGTGTGACACAAATTGCCTATTTGACTTTTAGCATTATACATAATGACCGGGCAATGTAATAATTGCAACATAATTTATAATTTTGTCATATCCTTTTGGGCACTTCTTAAATTGCCCGGCCATTATAAACGATGCCCAATTATTTACATTGCCCTTGACATATATATGTATATATATATATATATATATATATATATATATACACAGTCAATTCGCTATAACTCAAAGTACGATGACTGGAATATTACTATAACTCGATTTTTTTATGAGGTCCCGACCCTTTTATCTTCAATTTCATGTTAATTATTCTCGATTACTCGAATTTTACTCCCTTTAACTCGATTTTTTTTGGATCTTTTAAAGCAAGAAAAAAAACCTAGGAGCTGATATCTTGCCCCTTCCTTTGCAACACACAATCCGAGGATAGCATAAAATTTT